GAGTGCGCGGCCCAGCTCACCGCCCTTCTCTGCGGGCGCAGGTGCAGGCCAAGCTGGAGAACGCGGAGGTGCTGGAGCTGACGGTGCGGCGCGTCCAGGGTGCGCTGCGGGGCCGGGCGCGCGGTGAGTGGCAGCGGGCGAGTGGGCGCGGGCGCCCAGCCTGCCTCTCTTCCGGACGGAGGAATCGGGGCGAGGGCTTCCCCCGGAGGAGGGTGCGTCTCGCGTCTCCTGGGTGAGCCCTGTCCCCGTGGGCCGGCTGGGTGGGTCACTACAGTCGTTGCTTACCGTGCGCGACGCGACTTTCTTCCTCCTACCCTCGGGCTCGCAGAGCGCGAGCAGCTGCAGGCAGAAGCGAGTGAGCGCTTCGCTGCTGGCTACATCCAGTGCATGCACGAAGTGCACACGTTCGTGTCCACGTGCCAGGCCATCGACGCCACGGTCGCCGCCGAGCTCCTGAACCACCTGCTGGAGTCCATGCCGCTACGCGAGGGCAGCAGCTTCCGGGATCTGCTGGGGGACGCCCTGGCCGGGCCGCCTGGAACCCTTGGGCTGAATGGCTGGCCTGCGGGAGGGGTTCCGGGGTCCCCACTACCGAGCCCCCCAGGTCCTGGGGACGACTTGTGTTCCGACCTGGAAGAAACCCCTGAGGCTGAACTGAGTCGGGCACCTGCTGAGGGGCCAGACTTGGTGCCCGCGGCCCTGGGCAGCCTGACCGCGGCCCGAATAGCCCAGAGTGTCTGGAGGCCTTGGTGACCAATACTGGCCAGGGTCCTGCGGGGGTGAGCCTGGACTCTTTCCCTGCTCTTCTCCCTCCTCCCTGGGGTTCAGATATGGTGGGGCGGGACCCTGGGTGTCTCCCTGGTCTGCCTTCCCTCCTCCAATGGATGGCTTGCAGGGTAGCCCCTGATAACCTGCCCAGCCAGGCCCCCAGCCCTGTTTCCTGAGGAAATAACATTTGTGGACCCAAGAGCTCTGGAGTGGGTGGAGGGAGGGAGCTACAGGCAGCCTTCTCTGGCACTGTGTGGGACCTGGGGGCAGAGGCGACAGGAGTGCTGCTGAGCCTCTCCTCGGTGCTGGGCACTAGTGTCCCAGGCAGGGGCACTCAGGCCCTGGCAGCCCTGAGCTAAACAGAAGCTTGAATTTGCCACTGCAGCCAGTAGACAAGGGGAGGCAGGTGCATTTTGCAGCACCGTTTGGAGCTGTGAGGCTCTCTGTGCATTTTGTTTGTAGCATAATTGAGGTTGTGTATTCAGCTGCCATCAAGTGTTAAAATTTTATTAAATAAAGAATTTTGAAGTTAATTGCGGGAAGTATTATGGAATGATGTGTCAATGTGTCAGATGTGTAAATGCTAAATTAAGTGCATTTTTCCTGCATTTCAACACGGGTGAACGAACATCCTTTAAAACCTAACCCTGGCCAGGCATGATGACACACCTGTAACCCCAGCACTCTGAGGCTGAGGTGGGAGGATCACTTGAGGTAAAGCGCTTGAGACTAGCCTGGGCAACATAGTGAGATCTTCTCTCTACAAGAAAAAAAAAAGTAGCTGGGCCTGGTAGTGCATGCCTATAGTCCCAGCTACTCCAGGTGGCTGAGGCAGGAGGATCGCGTGAGCCTAGGAGTAAGTAACTGCAGTAAGCTATGATCTTGCCACAGCACTCCAGCCTGGGTAACAGAGCAAGACCCTATTATCAAAATAATAAACAAAACTCACCCCTTATCAGCAAAGCAAGTAGTGTGTTGGTGGTGGAGACGTATACCCTGTGGTTGGTCTCTGTAATGGGCGATGCTGCTGCTTTTCTATTGTTGGGCAGGTTCTCAGCCCTGGTCGTTTCTCTCTGGTGGTTGTGTGACTCCTAGAGAAGGATTTCATTGGGTTTGTCTCCAAGGTAACTAAGCGATAGGAAAATGACCTGTCTCTGTACCATATTCTTGTTCATGAGCTTCAGAAATAATAGAACAAATGCCTAATTACTAGCCATTTGGCTTGGAAGTGTCTTTTGAAGACCTGTTTTAGCATTCACAGGTGTGATGTCCCAGTGTCACTTTTCTTGACTGAAGAAGTTTCCCCTGGTGCCACTGATTTCAAGGACAAAAAGACCCACCCAGTTCATGACTTGAAGTGAAAAGTGCTGAAGCCCCAGGGGCCTTAGCCTGAGGTCCAAGATGTCAAAACCCTCAGGGGTGGAGGGTGTTGAAATGGGCAGCTGGGTGCAGGACTCTGCCTTCTTGAGTTAGGTCAGGCCTGCAGATAGCAGGTAGTCAGTTGGTTGCAATCATACCCCCTCCTTCTGCTCCAGGGCCCCAAAGCAGCTTGTTCTCACTTTGGGTTGACAGTACCCAGGCTGGGGTTGAGGTGTGACAATTTAGGATTGACATTTGGGTCTCCTCTCTAGTCGTGTGCCGCTGCTTTAAGAACATCTTTCCCAACAGAAACTTTACAAAAGCTCCCTAGCAGGTCCTGGACACCAGGGGTGTTTCAGAGTTTGGGGTTACTCTGGCCCCCTATGATTTAATCATAGACCAAAGCCACTGAGCTATAACCAGATGCAGCTTAATTTTAGCAGCTGGGACTGAGCTGTTGAGGATTGTAGGGGAGGCAGGTTCACAAGAGAGGGCTCGAGGAATAGAAACATCATTCCTGGGACTATATCACACAGACCGATGTAGGGTGCATCCACAGTAACATGGATGGATAACAGGCCATCCAGAAAGCCCTCTGTTCCGGGTGACAGAGGCCCAGCAGTGAACCAACTGATGCCTCGTAGGAAGCATCACCAGGGACTGCTTTGAAGGAAAAACTTTCCTCTCGAATCCACTCTCATCACATCTTACCAGAGGCTCTGGAAGGGGGCCAAGGGGAACCCAGGATTCGAGGTGCAGGAGGCTCACTGGGGCAAGAGTGTCACTAGGACCAGGGCCTGCCCAAGGTCAGAAGCCACTAATCCAGAACCCTGGCACTGTGCCTCCTAACCCTCAAGAACAGGCTCTTTATCAGAAATGCAAATGGTGGTCTGGTACAGTACTCACATCTGTAATCTCAGCACTTTGGGAGGCCTAGGTGGGAGGACTGCCTCAGCCCAGGGGTTCAAGACCAGCCTGAGCAACTTGGCAAGACCTCGTCTCTACAAAATATAAAAAAAATTAGCTGAGCATGGTGGCACATGCCTGTAGTCCTAGCTATTCAGGAAGCTGAGGTAGAAGGATCTGAGCCTAGCAGGTGGAGGCTGAGGTAGCCATGATTGAACCACTGCACTCCAGCATAGGTGACAGGGTGAGACTGATTAAAAACTAACAAAAAAGTTAGGCACCGTGGCTCATGCCTGTAATCCCAGCAGTTTGGGAGGCAGAGGCCAGAGGATTACCTGAGCCCACAGGTTTGAGACCAGCCTGGGGAACATGGTAAAACCTCATCTCTACAATAAATTAAAAAATTAGCTGGGTGTGAGAGTACACACCTGAAGTTCCAAGTACAAGGAAAGTTGAGGAGGAAAGATTGGTCGAGGCTGCAGTGGCCGTGAGCATGCCACTGCACTCCAGCCTGGGCAACAGAGTGAGACTCCGACTCAAAAAACTAAATAAAAATTTCTTCCAAAGTGATGTTTCTATATGATCCTTCTTCCATCATCTCCTTTGACCTTCCTCTTCTGCCTCCTTCTTCCTCTTACTTTGAAGGATCCACTCTGACTACATTGGGCCCACCTGGATGCCGCAGGCTAACCTCCATATCTCAAGGTCCTTACCTTAATCTGTAATCACATTTGCAAAGTCTCTTTTGCCACGTAAAGTCAAATACAGGTTCTGGGGATTGGGATGTGGTCTTGGGTGGAGGGAGTGGAGCATTATCTGCCTGCCACACCCACCTGCGCCTTGGACCAGGAAATCTGTCTCCCATCGTGATGCAGTGTGGTGCCAGCTTCCCACCTGGGCACTGGGTCCCATCCCCACTCACCTGTATAGTGTCTCTGCTCTCTCCACTGCATTAACTTATCCTCCCTTCTGGATCGGTCTTCCTACAAACAAGCTGTAATGTCTCCATCCAGAAAACCCTCCCTTGTACCCTGCTAGCCTCTGCCTCATTTCTCCACTCTACAGCAAAATTCCTTGAAAGCACCATCTACACTCACTGCTTCCACTTCTGCAGGACTCATTCTTCTTCATTCCTCTCCAATCTGGCTGCTGTCCCACCCCTTCACTGAGACTGCTCAGTCAAGATCTCCAGTGACAGCCATACTTCCCAATCCAGCGGTCATGTCGCCAGTTTCAGCTTAACCTCTTGTGGTATCATTCCCTCCACCTGGAGACACCCCTTCCAACCTCAGGAGTACCACACTCCTGGGTCCCCTTCCACCTCACTATCCTCAGTCCCCTTTACTAGATGCTCCTCTCAGCCAACCTCTGATTGTAGGCATGTCTGTCCCAAGGGTCTGACCTCGACCCTTCCCTATTGTGCCCCACCCAATGACCCCACATGGTTCCTTTCTTCCACATGATGCCCTTGATTCAAAGCTCCTCTCCAGCTCGACACGGTGGCTCATGCCTGTCATCTCAGCACTGCAGGAGGCAGAGGTGAGAGATTGCCTGAGGCCAGGGGTTCAAGACCGGCCTGGGCAACTTGGCAAGACCTCTTCTCTACAATAAATCAAAAAATTAGCCAGGCGGGGTAGCACGCACCTGTAGTTCCAGGTACTTGAAAGGCTGAAGGGGAAGGATTGCCTGAGCCCAGGAGGTCGAGGCTGCAGCAGCCGTGAGCATGCCGTTGCACTCCAGCCTGGGCAACAGAGTGAAACTCCAACAAAAAAGAAAGAAAAAACCCTCTCTAGCCTGCTGGCTCCCCTATATCACCACCTGTCTACTAAATGCTTCCGCTTAGATGGCAGATGGGCATCACAAACCTACCATCTCAAAAACAACTGATTATCACCCCCAAACTCCCTGTCACTTCCCCAGACGTCGCCACTTGCTATTTTCCTGTCATGTCACTTAAAATGAGTCAAACCCATGACATGAACTCTACTTCTTTTTTTTCTTTTTTTTTTTTGAGTTGGAGTCTCACTCACTCTGTCGCCCAGACTGGAGTGCAGTGGCGGCTCCCGGCCACCGCAGCAGCGACCTGCCGGGCTTCGGCAATCCTTCCGCTTCAGCCTTCCGAGTAGCCAGAATTACAGGCGCGCGCTACCACGCCCGGCTGATTTTTGATTTATTGTGGAGATGAGGTCTCGCCAAGTTGCCCAGGCGGGTCTCGAACCCGCGGGCTCAAGCAATCCACTCACCTCAGCCTCCCAAGGCGCGGGATTACAGGCTGAGCCGCCGAGCCCCGTGAACTCTACTTCTAAATCCTGTCTCTTGTCTTCTTTGTCACCGACCGAGGCCAAGGCATCCTCGTTTCTAACCTGGACCTCCTGGCCTCTGACTCCCCTCCTTAATCCACTCCTTACTCCTGACCACGGCCTTCGAGGCTCTGCCCCGCTCAGCGCTGCCACCCAGGGTTCCTCCTTCCCCGCCCTCCCTACGCTGGGTTCTGGACTCAGGCCCTTCCAAGGGACCCGAGAGCGGGATCCGGTCAGTCTCGCTCCGCCCCGCGCACCCCGCCCTTGCCTTTCCAGGACTTCGCGGAACCTGCCTTGGGGAATCTGGAGGGGAGTCCTGCGGGTGTGGGAGTCGGAGCTCCCGAGGTCTCCAGGAGCGGGGTTCAGGCAGTACCTTGCGCTCGGAAGCGCTCGGGGAAGCTCGGAGGCGCTCGGGAGCGTGCGGAAGAGCCGGGGCCTTGGCCACGCCCCCGCCCGAGGCGAACAGCGAGGCCTCCTGGGAGTTGTGGTTCCAGCCCCGCGACTTCGTTGGGGACGCGCGGGAACTGCGACTCCCAGAGGCCTCTCTGCCCCGGAGGCCACGCCCCCCGTGCCTGCGAGCTCGTAGCCGGATTTCCTCGGAACCCGTGCCGCCTGCAGAATGGGTTTGCGGCGGCGGAGGCAGGGCTGCGGTCGCTCCAACATCCCTGGGACGAGCAGCGCAAGAGATGGAGGCACTCTGCTCCCGGGTCCCCCGCAGCTCCAGCCGCCGGGTTTGCGCTTGAGGAAGTGAAGGCCAGAGGTGCCCCGGCCCCGGGCGGTCGTCCGCGGGGCTGCGTCCCGGCCATGCGCTGCGCATCACGAGGCGGCTGGGACGTCGAGGGTAGTAAAGCTCTCCGCCGGACTCGAAAATGCTGTTCGATAGAACGGCGTTATCTTACTCTCCGTTGACTTGTCAATGACTGACATTTGGAGGTCCTGTCCTCTTCTTCTCCAGATCCTGGAAAAATCTTGAATGTGTC